ATTTCCCAACATTAACACGTACTTTTTCCAACATTAACACGTACATTTTCCAACATTAACTCTTAAGTGTCCGGCTCGTCAGTCGATCCAGCACACAGACAGCATGGCCCGGTTGTTTTAAGAATCACAGTCATTATAAAAAGTTCTACGAAACCCTAACAAACCGACGCTTAAACTGTGTGTTTATTGAACAAAACATTCATTAATTGAATTACTCTCTACTCAGTTCGTTGTGTGTTTGTGTAAAATACGTTAAAAAGGAGCGGCAGTTATATATATAGAGAAGAAGCAGGAGCGTAGCTGTAGATCGAGGGAAGTGTGCGATGCTGAAAAGTTGGACCGCGTAGTTGGCGGCTGCAAACAAAGGGGGAGCATTCTTAACTACCGCGTGAGTTCCTAAGAGTTAAAGTCGGTGAAAGATCTTTGTTGCGGAAACGACTCTTGTTTTTTCTAGCTCTCTCATACGGTGTAGATCTTTCCTACCAGAAGATCAGGGGTGTGGCAGAAAGAATCTATTGTTTCTCCAAAAACGTCACATCTATTGTTCTTCTTTCCATTTGAGCTCAGATTTTCTTTTCTGGTTTCAGTGTAAGTTTTACGGCTTTTACAGCACAAATAATATGTCATTTCAGTGTCTTTTAAATATTTTTGGGTGAGTGTTTTACGACGCTTTCAACTGCATAAGGTCATATGAACGCGCGGGAAACATTAAACGTCTTCAGTTTGTGGGAATGTTTTTAAATTTTGCCCTGGTGGCGGCCGAAGCCTACTCCTATCGATTTTAGACCACCGAGGGATCTTTAACGTGCGCGACTCATACACGGGCCCTCCGAGATTTTTAGCCCTTGCCCGAGAAGACTAGGTGTAGATCTTTCCTACCAGAAGATCAGGGGTGTAGCTAAAACACAGCAGTAAGAAGTAGCCAAAGAGTAGCAGTAAAAAGGCTGCAGAAAGAGTCAGGAGCCCAGAGGGCTTAAAGAGAGTTGTTGTACTCAATATAGATTGAAAAAAAAGCAGAAATAAATTGGTGAGTGAAAAGAAATATGTGAGGCATCGTGGTGGAAT